TTGGCACTTGTGGTCTATTTTCTGAGCTGTGGGGAAAGGAATGCAAATGTTTTTGGATTTGGAGGAGATTCCCTGCCTTTGATTACAACTGATGGGGAACTAACCTGTCGGAGAAGAAGGGGAGAATTGAATTAATGGCAGTCTCCTCTGGTCTAGGAGTAAATAAACAGGTGGCAGCAAGAAGTGGTGTTGAGTTCCCCTGTCCCAAAATTAAGTTCATGGAAAAAATGATGGTGAGAGGCACAGGCATTTAAAGACACAGTGAAGGTGACAGTGGGTGGAAGGTACACAGTGTTCGTTCTCCTTCACAGAGCACTCAATAGAAGCTCCCCATGCATGAAACCAGGTTTCAGTGGGGGAACTCCAGTATTATTAACTGAAGTTGCTGTCCGAGAGTAGTCATGGGACCACCTCCAGTGTGTGTCCTTGCCATGGAAGAAAGCTGTGAGGGGAAGAAGTCACCAATCAGCAAATCTTTGGAAAGTCCATATTCCAATCAGCATTTTGAAAACTGATCTATTCTTTAGGTGATCAGTGAGGAGGTTTTCTGAGGTCCTGCATTAGCTTTGTAAGGTAAACGTCAACCAAAAGGTCTCTCTTCTCCCATAGCTTGAACACTATCAAAGGGTTTGATTCCAGCTGCCATCCCACCAGCCCTCTAAGAGAAAAAAAAATTTCCTGGGAGAGAAATTCTCAGTAGACATGGAATTAATTAGGAACTTTTTGGGAAGAACTCTCAGGGGTGACTGCAGGACAGAGACAAGTCAGGAAACTCGTCTGGGAGAAGCAGGTCCCTGTAGGGCCATCAGCACAGGAGAGCTGTGAGAGTCATCCCACACAAGGCCAACCCCAGGCTCCACTCAGGGGTCATGGAGAGTGCACAGGTGAGATGAACACTCAAGAGGCTCCCTAGAAACTGGGTAAAAGTGAAAGAATGAGCCTAAAGTGAGGGTGGCTTCTGGGGTGAAATGCAAGACCCTTATGGCATGAAGTGAAGCATCTAGAGACAGAAGTGGAGACAACCCTGTTTGGAGTAACATGTCTGTGACTTACACACTAGAGATGGGTTTCATTGGGACAGGAGGGAAATCTAGGGACTCAGCCTGTTCTGAATTCATTCAGATTTAATACCAGAGTTTTATTCAGGATGTTGTGGTGTAACCTCAGATTGTGGGATCAATCCCACGCTTATTCACATCTCCCCTGGTGGAATGGGGAGAGAATCAGAAAAATAAAAGTGAAAAAACTTGTGGGTTTAGATAAACACAGATTAATAGACCTGAAAAAAAAGCTGTGCAAGCAAAGCAAAGCAAGGAATCATTCACCATGCCACTTCCCATGGGCAGGCAGGGCTCTGTCACATGTGGCAGTGACTTGGGAAGACAAAATGCCATCACTTTGAGTTTTCCTCCCTTCCTTTTTCTTCTCCAAGGTTTTATTGCTGAACATGACACCAGGTGGTCTGGAATATCCCTTGTGTCAGTTGGGATCAGCTATCCTGTGCACACCCAGCCCACTCACTGGTGGGGTGGAGTGAGGAGCAAAAAAAGGCCTCGAGTCTGTGTAAGAACATGTTTGACAATAACAAAAACATCCCTGAATTATCAACACTGTTTCCAGCACACATCCAAACCACAGTTTCATACCAGCTACTGTGATGAAAAGTAACCAGCCCAGCCAAAACCAGAATCTGGGATAAACTTGAGGGATGTAGAACAGATCATCCACGTGTGTAGTAGTAAGTTGAACAAGACCAGTTATAATCACAGGATCACAGAATATACTGAGTTGGAAGGGACCCACAAGGATCATCGAGTCCAACTCCCAGCCCTGCACGGGACCATCCCCAAGAGTCACACCCTGTGCCTGAGAGTATCATCCAAATGCTTCTTGAGCTCTGGCAGCCTTGGTGCTGTGACCACTGCCCTGGGGAGCCCGTTCAGTGCCCAACCACCCTCTGGGGGAAGAACCTTTTTATAATATTGAACCTAAAGCTGCCCTGACACAACTCAGGCCATTCCTTCAGGTCCTGTCACTGGTCACCAGAAAGCAGAGATCAGTACAGAAAACAGGTCTGATATTTTAAAAAGCAATCTACATATCACCCTAAATCTTATTTCTGGGATGGGATAATTCAGCCCCCATCACTGTGTTTGTGAAGTCATGTGTGTATGTATATATTTTAATGTATACATATTTATATGAAAAGTGAAACATATTTATATATATAAATATGTATACATTATATATATATATATATATAAAGTTTGCAATATTGGAGGTGTTTATTTGTTGCCATTTTGTCATCCAATCACTCACCATCAAGAGGTGCCTCTACAGTTTTTCACACTCAACTTTCAGTCTTGTCATCTTGGATGCTTTATTATCATCATCAAAACTGGTTGCTGTTTTAGCCATTCCCTTTTCCAAATCAGTTGGGAATATGTGAGACTGCATGTACCCACTTGTTGGAACACAATTCATCACCCTCTGAGCCTTGAGCCAAAACCACAGACCAAATTACTGTTAATAACAACAAAGATCACAGGTGTTGGTTTAAGAAGACATTTTATTTTTGTGTGAGAATAAAATAATAGTATATATATTGCTTCACATCCTCCAAGAGCTGCATGAACCTGAAGTGATTGAACATCCAAACATCCCTGTGAGGTAGGCTGGAATAGGTGGCCAAGGTGGCAAAGTGGCTTGTGTATTAAAAGCAAAAAAGGGAGTGACTTCAGCAAGGAAAAACCTGGATCTCCAGAAGCAGTGTGCTAACAGAACATGCCCTCTGGAAGCTGCTTTTAATGCTCATTTGCAGGAGGGTTTAGATAGAGGAGGAATCCATCAAAATCACCTCCTCAAGGCAGTGGAAATGTTGCTGGTACAAGGGCACTGATCCAGGCAAGCCTCCTCTTCTTACTCTGGTAAAATCCTGCAAGAATAAAGAGTCTTGTTATTTTGCTGAAGTGTAGCCTAAAGTTAATCTCTAAAGCCTCAATACCTGCTAATTACCTTTCAAAGTAAATGTACAACCTGCAGCTTTAAAAACCTACATTTAGATGCCTCCATGGAAGGTCCCCATGTGTGCTGGGTGTCCCAGTCTGTGCACATCCAGTCCACAAGAACTATGGTCACTGGCAAACTAATTGTACTGCCACTAATAAGAACATTTTTATTCAACTCACTCCAAAATAAAGATTGGGGATTTGATGTGGTTACTGAACACACAAGTCTAGTGCCATTTGAAGAGTTGTGAGGTATCTGATTGGCCTCCAGACACCATTTCTGAAAATGAATTTTTTCCTGTAGGTCATGAGTTACCTCAGCCAGACATGTAGATATGGTTTAAATACTCCAAGGTATCCCAAATGCCTCTAAACATCTCAATTTATACTGCTGAATCAAGCCCTTTGTGTCTAAATTCAAAGATTTCTTTTCAAGCAACCCAGTGAATTGAATCCTGAGCTGGAAAAAATATTCTATTGTACTTCAGAATAACCTGTTGACTTCAACTTCTACTGTTGTATTGATCACTCAGCTGAAAATCTAACAGCGCCTACAAGAAGAGCTCTAATCCTGAACATTAACATCCAGCAGTGTCACATATGAGTATATTCCTCCAAGAAAGAATGCTTCTGTAGAAAAAATTACATCTGAGCCAGTCTCTTATTCCTTCCCCAGCCCCAATTTTCCTTTGGTTAGACCTAACAGATGCTTATAGAGAAATATGATGTTGGAGATCAGCTGTCAGCTCCTACCAGTCTATTTGCTATCTGTAGAAATTGCTCCCTCAGGAGGATGAACAGTCACAGAGGCTAGGGGTTCACATAATTCCTTTGTAAAACCACCTAATTACAGGTTACTTCTGTTCTATTTATTTTCCTGTTATCCTTAGTATCTCGATATCCTGATACGAAATCTCCCATTATTGGAGTGACTTGGGTTTCCTGAAACCACCAGCTGACAGAGGATCCCCATGTGCTGAATAAATGTTATAAAACCTCTTTCCTAGAGCCACCTCATTGCACTTTCTTCAGTTTCTGGGAACCTTTAAGCCCTGGTAATTCTATAAATAACAGGATTGGGAATTCTGTAAAATTCAGAAAATATGGATCTGAGCTCTGCCTTTATTTTAAACCAAGGTCTGTCCAGTCACATCAATGGTTGAGGATCTGCCTGAACATCATTGCTGGGATGAATTATGTTGTCACATTTGTCTCCTTCATCAGAAGATACAGGACCCTCTCCCATTTTGGCACTGAATTTGTTGTGTGTGACAGTCACTGCAGCTGGCAATGATCATCTTGTGGCCATTAATGGAACAAAGCTATTGCAAGAATTAATGCCTGAGGAATACGTTTTATTCTAAGCTATAGAATATTCCCCAAAAGTATGTTCAAAGCCTTAAGAAAAGAAAAAACTGGCTATCGGGGAAACTCTAGACATTACTAAAAATTGGTCTCCAAAATCAAAAGTGAAATGCACACCCAAGTCTCTACTCACTCACAAATTCACTCTTTACCTTTCAAAGAACTGAGCAATGGTGGAAAGAAGGAGAGATGGGAAAAGAATGAGAAGCAGAGTTCTGTGAACATATTTTCCCCCTTTAAATTTAAATTTTCTAGGCAATTTTGGAAATTAAAAGAACATAAGGAGGAGAAAATGTTTCCTCTCTTGGGTGAAAATACTGTGAAATATTTTTCTAATAATTTCTTGAAAAAACTTACTTTTTTTTCCCCCCCATCAAACGTAAAATAAAGTGAATTCTGGGAAAATTTTGACCCCTCCTGAACCCTTTTTATTGTACATAACTTCCATCCAAATGAATTGTCTCCTTAAACACACGTCGATATACACATGTTCATCCTCCCTCTGGGCTTTCTCACAAAAAGGCTGCCCTGCAAGCCCCAGGGAGTCGTGCAGATTATTCAGAGAAACAGTGGATAAAAGAGCAGGACCAAACAATTCTCTGTGATACCCTTCAGACCCTGTGGCACTTACTTGGAGCAGCAGTTCAGCACCCCGTTGTGGCAGGTCCCCGAGGCAGTGAAGGTGGGTGGGCACTGCCCGGCATGGCAGAATTTTCCCCGGCCCCTGCACTCTGCAGTGTCAGGAAAAAGGGGATCTGCAGAACCTGTGAGAAGAGAAAAGTGTTAAAAACCTCAGTTTTCAGTCTAAAATGATGAAGGATAAATGTTCATTAAATCATTAAATGTTCATTAAACAGATGCTCTTGAACCAACCCACTGCACCATCCTGATGGTATCAGATTTAGCCTGTCAGGTGATGGCTGCTTTTTCCCTCCTATGAACACACCTTTGCTCACAAACCCTTCTGTTGTTTATAGGATTTATTTTGCTTCTCACCTGAAGTTGCCTGGAAGATGAGGAGGAAAACAGCGAAGAGCAGGTAGAGGATCTTCATGGCTGCCGGTCACTTGTGGTCCGTGAGATCCTGCAAAGTGCCAATGGTGGATGGAGTTGGCTTGAGGAAAGGCTGGGAAAGACACCCTGTATTTATAGGGCCTGTGAGATTGTGCAAGTGTGACCACTGAGTGCTTTGTCAATGAGTAACTGCAATGAACTTTATGGAAAGGGGCTGGTTATCCCCCTTATCGCAGGTGGCAGTGAACATATTGCAATCCCCCAAGGGTGAATTTCCACTTAATGCATCAGTTATATAATGTGACCATCAGCCAAGCCCCACTGAGCTGCACCAGTTTTTGTCACTCTTGCAGGTGTCTTTCCAACACAGGCACAGGGATGGGTTAGGCAGGGAGCTTGGAAGTCAGGCACCATTGGAGTGGGGACCTGGCTTTGACCCTGGATTTGTCACCCACTGACAATTCATGTAACATTTTGTCTCCGTCTCCCCATCCCTATCACCAGGTGGATGATATCAAAGGCAGAAGAAAGCATTGGGAAAGACTTGATATGATGCAACTGTTCTTTGTAACTTTTTAAACAGTCTCACCCACTGCAGAAGGGTGACACAATGATCTCTCCTTCCCTCAATCCTCACTTATATCATAGAATCATAGAATGGCCCGAATTGGAAGGGACCTTAAAGACCATCCAGTTCCAAACCCCTGCCATGGGCAGGGACACCTTCCAGTAGACCAGGTTGCTCAGAGCCCCATCCAGCCTGGCATTCCATCCCACATCATTCCCCACTGCCCTACATTCAGTTTTGCGTCACAAATTCTGACCTCCTTGCACTCAGTTCCTGTTTGCCCAAATTTAAAACCTCAAGAGTTAGAGTTCTGACACTAATATGTCTCCTTCCTTTTAAAGAAAGTAAACTATTTCATATATATGTACAAGTTTGTGATGCAATGCTGAATGTTTCCTCTCATATTGCCCCAAAAGGTTGGGAGAATGGGCTGATTCCATAAGAATCTTGGCTGACATAACTCCCCCAAGTGCAACATCTTCTGGGGCTTCAAGTCAGAGCACCATCCTCGTGGCTGTAAATTTTCTAAGAAGGGAATCCATGCAAAGAAGGTTCCTCTTCATGGAGTCCTGGGCTTGTAGATGCCAAATGACCACAACATCTTTGCACCCATGGTAATCTTCCCTTTGCCCAAACACCATCACTCCCAACAACAGGTTAAACTCTGTCACAGCCCAGATGTCTCTGCAGTTCCTGCCTCTGACATTCTGGTTCAGTGGTTTGCTTCCTTATTGCCTCATTTATTATGTTGAACTTGGAGTTAATGGTATTTTTGTTATAATAATTATTCGAAGGATGAAAACATTACCCATAATTATGTTTAACCTCCGTGCTCTTGGGCAGGCTCGAGCAGCTGAGAGAGCAGTAACAAGGTGAGTTACTTAAGTGTTTATGCATCAAACAACAGCAATATAAACACTGATTTCCCTCTTCCACCCATAAAATCTAATTAACCAAGAAATGTCAAGTGTTGGGGTTTTTGTTCCCTTTTTTTTGTACCCTTGCTTGGAAATTGTCTTTTTTCTTTGCCAGCAACTCTCCAGCTTTCCCCATTTCTAATGGAGAAGAAAGCTGATCTGTCACTTCTCTCTTTTCTCTTTCAGTGACATGTCAGTGGGACCCTCTGAAGGAGAGGTAGATACTTGATCAGCAACAGCAGGAAACAAAACCCTTTTGTTTTTATCAAGACCCACTGAAATGTGAATTTCCCCAACCTGTCTTTCTCATAGACAGAAAACTGTTGTGATGTTTTGCAAATGGAAATGTGTTTTTTGAGCATTCATCGCTCCTTGAAGAAGCCCATGTTAGTTGTTTTTCCCAAATAAAATCAGGGTGTAGCACTGGGGAAGGTGGTGACCACTCTTTGTTATCACATGCAGTGATGCTTTCATGGCCGTACTGTGGAATGGAACAAATCCATTATCAGAGACAAATTGTTTTAATTTCACTGATGCAAATTGCCATAGCATTCAGATTTTACTGAACAGCCTCCTTTCTTGCAGAAGGAAAATATCTCTCTAGGAAATAAGGAAGAAGTTTTTTACAGTGAGGGTGGTGAGGCCCTGGCACAGGTTGCCCAGAGAATCTGTGGCTTCCCCATCCCTGGAAGGGAAGGCCAAGTTGGATGGGGCTTGGAGCAACCTGGGCTAGTGAAAGGTGTCCCTGCCCATGGCAGGGGGTGGAATGAGATGATCTTTAAGGTCCCTTCTAACCCAAACCATTCCAGGATTCTATGATTTCATGATTCTATGAACGTGACCAACATTTCAAGCCCTGCTAGCACAGGTAACCAGAAATCATTCAGAGCAAAAGGAAAATTCCATGACTTTGACTTCTAGCAAGAACAAAGACAGGTGCAAACTGGTTGCTCAAAAACCAGGTGAAACTTGCACAAAACCCCCCAGGAAGAGAGCAATTCATGCACCACAGCAGTGACCTGGGGCTGGAACACAGCAGGGTGTGCATGGAGCTGTGTCCCACGGTAGTCAGGGCTGGGATGGAGCCCTGGAAATCTCTGTTGAGCATTAACTCCCAGACATGAATTGGGAACTCCAGGAGCTGCAGGTACCTACCCAGAGATATCAAGCTCTTTAAACAAAGGGGATCTGGGGAGACTTTGCAATTGAATTTTGCTTCTCATCCAGAAGCACAGCTTTTCAAAGGTGACATTTCAAGGAAAATCCAAAATATTAAGTGGGGCCAGCCCTTGCAAGCAGCACTGTACCAGATTTCTCAGTCTTCTGCAAGGCAGGTGTTCTTATCCTCTTCTTCCCTTCTTGATTGACAAACTACTCCCCATAATAGTTCATAACAACCTCCCTTCAGGTACTATAGGCTTCAGTGCTTCATTCTGATTAATCATCAATAAGTTAATGAACTGGGATATCATGTTCTTCAATTGTGCCTTTTGTCTGATGCTTCCAAGACTAAGCAAGCAAAATAAAACAGCAGACTGAAATCTTACGTTCAATTTGTCATCATCACCAAGGCAATTTTAACAAATTCATTTGGGTTTTCTGATTTTTGTTGCTGCCTAGTGTCCCTTTACAGTTTTCTCTGTGGGAAATCAGTGTCAATCTCGTTTACAGCTCTTATCTTTGCAGTGTAAGGAATGGAATGTTCTTCTACCACAGCTGATTGCAGATACTTCATGGTAAGAGATGTGCACTCATTGCACCTCTGCCTGGATAGTTGCAGGTGAAGCTGGCATCCAACCTGCTTCTCCTTAGCATTTTACGCCTCTTGGAACATAGGCATATCCCACATAGTGCAGGGAAGGAGCAGTTCAGGCCAATCAGTCTGCAAATCTGTGTGTTGTCTGGACCACTGCCTTGTCTATTTATTAACTTGCCATCCCATGAGGTATCTGAGAGGGGTAATTGAGAGCTGGGGTTGTTCAGCCTGGAGAAGAGAAGGCTCCAGGGAGACCTTAGAGCCCCTTCCAGTGCCTAAAGGGGTTCCAAGAGAGATGGAGAGGGACTTCAAAAAAGAGCCTGGAGTGATAAGACAAGGAGGAATGGCTTGAAACAGAAATAGATTAGATATTAGGAAGAAATTCTTGGCTGTGAGGGTGGTGAGGCCCTGGCACAGATTATCCAGAGAAGCTGTGGCTGCCTCATCCCTGGAAGTGTTCCAGGCCAGGTTGGACAGGGCTTGGAGCAACCTGGGCTAGTGGAAGGTGTCCCTGCCCATGGTAGGGGGTTGGAATGACACGATCTTTAAGGTCCCTTCCAACTTAAACCTGTCTGTGATTCTATGATGCTGCTTCATCCATGGGGCTTTATTAGTGAAAATCCTCCAATAGATACATTTTGTGCTTGTGCAAGATGTTCCAACATGTGACTTGTCAGTAAGGTGGTTTATGCCATTTCAAATGCGCACAAGCCACATTTTAACCTCTGTTTTTCCATCAGTCCTAGCTGGGACAGCTACATTGGCCCCCTATTAAAGAAACATCTTAAACCTTTTAGAGGAAGAGAAGTACAGCAGATCAGTTAATGAATCCTGGTGTGTGAGACATTTCCTGGTGTCACTGAAGAGGCACAAGAGGAGGACCCTGTCCACGTAAGGTTCAGGGATGCTGCAATGCTGAGGTCTGGAGACCTGGTCAATTATTACCTACCCTTGGTTGCTTTGATCTCCATTTCATGTGCCCTCACACTGCAATACAGACAGTGAGTCAACATTAAACAGATATTTAAATGACAGCACTGGAAATCAGCATGGAGAAATGTACTGTCCTCTGCACCCCTAAGCTGTGGGAAAATTCCTCTGTGGGGGTGAGAAGGACTAATAAGCAGAGTTTAAGAGGTAGGTGGGATACAGGATGTTCTATATGTAGTGAAGAAAAGACTAGTACTTCTCTGGTCCTGCATGATGAGTTTCCTGATCTGTCAAACAGCCCTAATCCTGCTGGAGAGATGCTTTTCCTGGAAGGGGCTGAGTCTTCTGTGGGGGTGGTGTCCTATGGAATATCACAGGAGCCTTAAATTTAAGAAATATGGTGCAGTTGATGACAAACTAAAACACCAGAAGTGTTTTCATAGACAGTGAACAGTATCTAAATGCTTCCCTCTGTGCACCAGCTAAATGTCTACTATGGTGTATTGGGTAGGTTTCTGTTGATTTTGGCACCACCATCATAAAAAATATAATCACTGGAGCTCCACTAGCTCATGTTAGGTAGGCAGTTGCTAGTGCTGCAGCCACAAGAATTGGATTCATCACTAGTAGGACTTGGTTTTGCATTTAAAGCTGCATAGGCACATGGTTATTTGGGAAAGCATATGTATATATATATATATATATTTAAAATCAGTCAGGTCAGTGTGGCATTGACCTTCCCATGTATGTACATCCTCTTTATCCTAGCAATTTTTCCTGTACCATAAGTTATTTGGGGTCCAAACATCTATTTTCTGCACAAATCAGTGTCCTGATTAAAGTTGCACGAGGTTTCCTCACAGTCTCTGCTTGGGTGCCACTGTCACCTAAGAAAATCACAGTGATTAAAAGCTTGTGAGTGACATCTAAACCCCATGTTGGAAGTTAAGC